TGTTATCTTTTTAAAAAATATAATTTTCTATAAGTTAACTCCCTTGGCAATCAAAGCCCAATCAGAAAGCAATACACAATATGTGGGTTGCAGACTCACTTTTCACGGTAAATTCGCCTGTTCATTTTCCTCATTTCTCTCGCACTTCTTTCTGGATCAAAATCTTCCATAAATTTTCCAGGATTTGCAAATGAAAGCATTTTCAACTGTTTACTAACTGCCTGAAAGAGAAAGCAACATAGGGATTTAAAAAAAAAAATCAAGATTTTGTTGAAACATGCATTTTTCTTTTGTAATGGAGATTAATTGATAAACATTGAATAAAACAAATGTGACCACACATATGGATAGCAACATTTTTGCTGTGCTTTTAAAATAGTTCAAACTAAAGTGATACAAATATATTTCACAGGGACAAAACACCAAAATTTAAATAATTTATTTAGCGTGATAAGGAAAATTAAGAAAAAAGGGCCTCAGTTTTAGGGAATGCAATGGAGCAACAGATTGATAATTAAAAATTATTAAAAATGGTTTCTGACTGATGTATAGATTTCTCTATTTCATCCTAATGAAGACGGCATTCTACTAGCCCATGAAAATAATTCTATAGAATTTTACCAAGATGTTGCAGGCTAAAGGTTAAACTGTTTATAGACATTAAAACATTAAGAAACAGTAATTCAATGTTAATAAAAAGGTAAATACTGCAAATAAGTTTTCAGTAAATCATATTTGTAAAATGTAACCTAACTAAAAAATATAATAAGTAAAAGGATGTATTTTCCATCATTATCAAATGACTTCATTTGAGAATTTTTTTAAATAACTTGTTAATCCAGAGTGGAATTTCTTCAATTTTCTCTTCTTACAAACTTTAATAATAATAATAATAAAAAAGAGGAAATTCTTGGCATAAAGAAATGCAGTAAATATTCCTGCTTAGTTTCATGTCTAAATTCAATGGAAATTAGCCAAGTGTTGCTTTGTTGTTTTGAGATTTTTAACAAAACAAATGAGAAATTTGAAAGAAATATTCCAATATAAAATTGTTAATTTTACTTTTGGAAATTTTTATTCCATTGAAAATAAAAAAATAAAAATAATTCAAATTTTAATTTTTTTTTCAATTATTACTTGATAATTATTTCATAAAACTTCATTAATTTAGGTAAACATGGAAAACCTCATAATGTTTGTTTTTGCACAAATTGAACAGAACTATAGATGCAAAGATAAAATTGTGTCTCAAAATTTTGCACGTAGAAATTTCAGTTCATAAATGCAAAAAGGGAGATGTCTTCTAAAATCTTTACTTAATGATGTGATGGAAAATGATCCAAAAACCTCAGTCAAAGAACTTACAAAAAACCTTCTGTTTTGATCAAAACTATTTCAATTTATTTAAATAAAAAAAATAAATAAACAAAAGCTTAATGTGTTTCCTGTTGGAAGAAGAAAAAATGCACTCTCTCATGGAAGGTTATTATGATTAAATAAACAAACTTGCTTGAAATAGTTCATTCATTTGTAAAAAGAAATCTTTGTGTGGTATCATCATAATTACAAATGTCAGTGTGATGCTGAATATATTGGTAGAACCAATCAAAGTTGGAGACAAAGATTGATCAGCACATGCCAGCTAAGACCTGTCAAGGGCAGTGTGAAAATCAACATATGCTTGTGAATAGATTTGGTTCTGCTATTCCAGAACATATAATAAATCATCTTATCTGTGCCACACCTTTCATCAAGGAGGTTTTCACCATAATCAGCCAAGTATAGTCAGATTGCCATCTGAGAATTCTCAAGACCATTTATATTAAGTCTAAGCAGCCATCCCTTTGCAAATTTTAGGAATGGCTGCCAAGGCTACATGTAATCTGTTATTTATACTACCGATTCCTTAATAATATTTTTTTCTTTCCCTGCTTTTTTAAGCCATTGTGAACATATTTTTGTCTTTGATTGGCTCTGAAGAGTGAGAATCAATAACCAGTTAGCTCTTTTTGTTATTTCTTTGCTGTTGTATTTTTTAAATTCACCACTTTTTATGGTAATTATATTTTTAACCTAGCTCTTCTATCGCTTTGTTTTATATTTTTGTATCGCTGTCATTGGCTTTATCCTGTATCCCAGAATTTAATTTCTTCTTTACTGATCACTTCCTTTATAATGATGATGTTGATGATTAAATTTGCCACCAATGTGAAGGTACAGGATTAGAACTTTTGCAGTTTCAACAAAACCTCCTCCCATCATTCATTCCCTATCGACATTTCGCTTTGCAAGATTTGGTTGGAGGTGAAATAAAATCAGAGTAGAAGAAAGTGCTGATGGCATGAATTTGTTTAAGGTGGACCTCAACTTGCCAGGAAGTGACTCACACCCTTGATTTCATGACCTTCCTCTGTAGCACGTATGGAATGAGACGTATAGAATCCAGTTATGATTGCAACGGACTACTGCTGACTGTTATAATTTCAAGTAGCGCCTTCTGTAGCATATCCATCATGTTGGTTCAACCGTTGAGATCTGTTGTAATAGTCATCTGCTTGTTCTACCACTGGGGTCTTTGGGGTTGGTACTGTCGGAGTTAGCTTGTCACTAGGGGTTATTTTCCCTATACTATAAATACTGGGCGACTTCTCGCCTCGTCCTCTCTGTATCCTTCAGGCCTCGTGCCGCATCCCACCTCGCATGGAGGTGAGGTAAATCCTCTTTTTCATTTCTTCATTTCAGCAACTACAATGTAAGCACTCTTAAAAAATCTGCATCTTCCCATTTGTGGAAGACGTTGTGAACATTATACACAAATACACGTACATACAAACATTCCCTAAAGAACAGACACAAATGTTCACAAACACACGCTAATGTCATTGTCTGTGTCCATTGTAAAATTGTTTTGTTTAATATATATATATATATATATATATATATATATATATATATATATATATATCTCCGGTCTTGTTTATTTTGTCTTCTTTATCTTCAGTTGGAGTTGAGTCTGGCAATTTTCTTGTAGTTGGACCTTTTAATATTCTACCAGGTGTTACATGTTTCTAACACAGCAACAAACAAACACACACAGTATCACTTAATCTTGGTTCTCATCTTCGAACCACACAAGCTACAACTATATATAACACACACTTTTAAAAAAGTCTGTTTCTAAAGCTCTAATAAATTTTGTGCTCCCCACAGATCATTATTTTCTCTTTTAAGTTACAAGCCCATTTTAGTTGTTGCTACTGTTGAAAGTCCTAAAGTGATGTGGTTTCTCTTACTTATTTGGTAAAGTTCTTCGTTTGAGATTCTGTAGCACCATTCCACAAGGTTCAAAGAAGAATGGCCCACACCAACACCTACTTAGAGTAGGACATGAACCCTATTCACTCAAAATTATTTTTATTCATTGATCTGAGGAAGTAGTTAACAAGTTCACACAACCATTGCTAAAGAATTTTCAAGGGCCTTAGATAATTTAAATAACCAGGTGCAAGTATTGGCTGAAACATTAGATATGTGCAAAAGTTCTTGGTACCCACTTTTTTGAAAATTTTAAAATCAAATTTAAAACATTTAAAAATCTTATAAATAATAAACAGTATGCTGGTTAATACTTAACAAAAATGAAAATACATCATATCAGCACTTCAAAACTAGTTGCAATGAATTAATGGTGGAATTAACTGTTGCTATAGAAGGAAACATTCAGCATTCACTGACCAAAAACTTAGTGGTACTGTTAAAAAATTTTCCTGGAAAATAGTTTCCTCAAGTTTACTGTTATCACTCTTTCTAGTATTGATGGGGGTTTCCTTCCTAACCTTTTGTTTAAAGTAGTGTGGAAAGTCAACATCTTGATTATGTTATTTTCTCTTCACATTACATGTGTTATCCATTTTAGTTGTTGCTACTTTTGGAAGTTTTCAAGTGATGTAGTCTTTGTTAGTTGGTAAAGTTCTTTATTTTTGATTCTGTAGTGCCAGTCTGTAAGAGTTGATGAATTTGCCTAAAACTTATCTATTACATATTCATAGTTCACAGAATATCTGTTCTGACTGAAAAAAAAATTGTTTTAAACCATTTAAAAAAATTTATCAAGTTTATAAAAATATTGTTAGGCTCATAAAAATAAAGTTAAAGCAAAAATGAACTATTTTGTTTTTGTTGATTTTTTTGTTCGTTTCGTTTTTTGTTTTTTTTTTGTTTTATCATTAATTTTAGATTCAAATGTCACCAGCACGTTCTTCAAAACTTTAGCAAAATATTTTCATGTATTTCATAAAAAACGTAATTTTTCTTATATTTCCAAATATTGTCAGGTGTTCACCAATGTCAGTATTCAAGTTTTACTGACAAAATGCGGTAGTTTTTTTATCGTTCAGCAACAGCTGCTTCATACAGGGTTGCAAGAGAACAAATTCATTGCATTCTAAAAGATTTCATTTAATTTAAAACGAGTATGGGCACTTCAATGTGGGTGGAGTAACTGCAGAGTAGCTAGTTTGATCTACACTGGATGCTCCAAACATGTGGCACAAGGCCACAAGTTTGAAGATCAACTTCGTAATTAATAAATTCATTAGAAACAGAAAACCTTTGAAAAAAAAAATGTAGTATGCATTTATTAACCTTACATTCTAATTCCATATTTTCACTTTAATTAAAATGCTTAGGTTTTTAAGTTTTTCACTTTTTTTTTTTACCATGGATGCCTACCGTCATAAAAAAAAAAAAAGTGAGTACAAGAATTTAATTATTTTGTTTTTAAATGAATTACGATTGCTCGTTTTCCACTTGGTCATTATTACTTTATTTATGATTTGGTAAATAAAATAAAAGAAATAAAACAATTTAAAAACAGGAAAAAAAAAATCACAAAAATAAATATTGTCTTTACTTTAACATTAACTGAACGTAAAACTTTTTTTCATCAATGAAATTGAAAACAATAGTTAAAAATGAAAAGAAACAAAAATCGTAAAATTTTAGAAGAAAATGTTTCTTACAGAATCGGAAAAATTTCGACCCAAGAATCTCGTATACCAATTTGCAGTTCCTGAAAAGTCCAATATTTTCTTTTGCCTGGCAATCTGCCGAGCTCTGTCTGTGATCATTTCTCGGGTGAGTTCATCTAATTTGTTGTCTGCATGGAAACCGTTTATCCATGCTGCCAATTCTTTGTCCATTTCCCGAACTTTGGTCAATTGACGAGACGCACGTTTTCCTCTACTACTACTACTGTCTAGGAACGACTCGGTTAGATTTGTTCCATCGACATAGTATGGACCATCGTTTTTACGACTTTCGTCTACTGCTTTGTTGTTGGTGCCATTGCTTGTTGAGTCAGGAATGCTTTCTTCATTTGTGTTATTGGTTTGGTCGCCGGGGCTTTTGGAGCGAGCTGGAACTGGAGAAGTGGATGATGATGTGGAGGCCATTCTTTCAAGTTTCGGGGGCACATCAATAATATCAATAGTTTCCATAGGGCTAGGTCGACCTGAAGAAGACGACTCCTCATCCACTATTGTTGGCTCAGTCGTTTCTTCGGGCATTTTAGGGGAAGGTGTTTTCTTTCGGGCAGCGGTGCTTTTCCGCGCCGTCGACTTAGATTTTGAAGGATTAATGGTGAGGCTGTAGTCGAACTTAGAAAAAGATTTAGCCTATCGGGAAGCAACCCGACAAATAAGAAACCTACACTTGGTCAAATACTTCACATTGAATAAGAAAAACACGACCCACAGCTGAGTCCTTTGTGCCGGCCACGCTTTCACTTGGCCGCACGTTTGACGGGCGACAAGAAAAAGGCACGCCGAAGTTGTCTCGTGTTCACCGGTAGAGGGCGTCACTGGTTGTTTATTTTCAATACTTCACGTGTCTTCTTGGTGGAGTCAGTTTTATTATAAATTACCCTCTTGAAAAAATATACTTTGCAAAATTACTAAATAAAACTTGACAAAATATATATTAATTATATATTTAGTGGATTTTTCTCTTTCTTTTAATATTCATGTTGCTGCATAACCAATGAATTCATTATTGTTGTTGTTGTTGTTTCTCGTTTTTAGTGAATCTTTCTCTCTCTCTAATTATCCCAGAAACACAAAATTCGATTTATTATTACAAAAATTCCATTCGGTGTTTATTTTTTGTTCTGATTTCTTGCTGTTTGATTTAAACTGTAAAAAAATAAATCAGCTAAAAAAAAGTTTAGTGATTACTAACAAAGAAAAGAAAATGGGGTAATAAATCGGTTGTTACTTCGGCTCAGAAAATCTCGAAATAAATTTATTTTAAAAATTGAAGAAATAAAAAAAAAATCTAATTCATTTAAAAATTAATTTGAAATGTAAATAAAGTTAATTTTTCTTCACATGTAATTAGCTTATTAGATTTTTTAATGATTTTTCTTATTCCTGTCTTTATTTTAAAAAGTTTAAATGAATTCAATTTTAAAAATAAAATAAATTGCTGTGTGTTTCTAAGATGGCTGATGTCTGATTTTGTTTGACATTTTTGTGAGTGTAATTCTATTGCCGTGAGAACAGAAAGACGAGCTTTCTTGGGAGTTGAGAGTCAATTTCAGGCCTCAAATTGGTGAGGCTTGTTACTAAGATTGTTTTTTTATCTGATTTCTAAATGCATGAGCAAAATAAACACGAACCAACCAAACCTACTTTGCTGCAATTGGAAAAAATAAACCAAATAATTCATTACATTAGGTCAGGAATGGCATTTTTCCAGTTTACGACTGTGACAAAAAAATGTCAAAATTTTTGAATTTATAATTTATATACCATAGTGCTTCAATCCCTTTTCCCGTCGTGATGTGATGCATATTGTTTTCTTTTAAACATTTAAAATAAAACTAAGTTGTCTGATTTTCTTCGGGGAACTATTAATTAAAAAAAATAGTTAAAATAAATAACTATATAAAACTTTAGTTTATTTTATCAGCCAGTGCATATCGAATTTTTTCTTTTTATAAAAAATATATTCAGGCCCGTTATAACTTTTTTGTGTTCTGTTTTATATTAGTTAATAAAATAATTAAAAATAATAATTAAAAAGTGAGAAAATGTAAAAAGAGTAAAAATGTTAGAGTTTGTCTTCCTTCTTACACTTAGTTTTTTTGGAAGAAGTGTAATTAAAAGAAAGCCGGGCGGTTTATTAAAAAAATTCATTTTGTGTGTAAAAGTTTTATTTAAAAATGGCTTCAAAAAGGACCTCTAGAAATAACTCATGGCCGATTGTTTGTGATACATTTTTTTCAAATTTAAAAAAAATATATTACCCTCGTGTTCAATGAAAAGGGTGTCTTTCAGCATCATAAATTTAAATTTGAGGTTTGTTTGATCCACTCCTAGCGACATTTAAGACAGGTTAGCAGATGAATGTACAGAAGGTGGTTAAATCTCCTAATCAAAGACCTTGCTGTCAGATGTAGTTTATCGTCTTCTTACCCAATATGCCTGTTTTTATTGATGTCTTCCTGCCTGCTGATGAACTGCAACATGACTTTTTCTAACACTAACACTTTTGTTTTATGTTAAATAAATTCTTCTCAGTGTTTGCCGGTTACTCTCTTCTTTTAATTATGACAGCAAGATGGCTTTCATATATCACTTATACAAGGACACCAGGATTGTTAAACAATCACCTTTTTGTTGGCTACAATTGAGTGAAGTTTGTATTAGATTGCTTGAAAATTGAGTGAGTTTTTAGTTTAAAATTTGTTGAAATTGATTTTTCGTTTTTCACTAAACGCAATGGTATAGAAATGAAAATGAGGTATTGTTGAGCTCATCATGATGTAAGTAACCTACATACCGAGTTTGAACGAAATCAGAGGAAAAAAGTTGAATTTATTGATTTTTGATCAACTTTATTGATTATCGATTTTTTCACACTAAGAACCTATGTGAAAAGGTATCACACAAACAGACACGCAGACATTGTCTGTTTTATATATAGAGATTATTTTCTGCCTAAAATTATCATTAGGAATTCTCTTGCATTAAAGCATTGAACAAGGGTTATCACCCTGCATACACCCTTGGGATTCAAGGTTTCCTTATTTCTTCTCCTATGTGCGAGTGGTGTAACAGATATCTGTGCAGAAAGTAGAATCAGCACGCTGGATTCAAATTCTAGCCAAACATATTTGCATTCACTTTTGCATGTAAATACTCTTGGGGAAACACATGAATCCATCTCTTCTTCTCTCTGCTATGGATTAAATAGTATGGTCTTTCTAGACTTGCTTGACAACCAGTATAGCAAATGGGTTACCCTGAATTCAGCCAGAAAGGGCTCAATCAAGTTATGTTGCCCTAGCCACACCAACTGCTGCACTATATATTATGACTAATTAGTTATGAGACTCATAATTGTGATGATAATCAAATTATTTATTGATTGAAATATAATTTAGATTGGAAATCTCTCCAGCTGGAGCCAAGTGACTCCTGTTTGGGAATCAATGGTGTAACTCCTGTAGATTATCTGTATAAATTTAATGGCTAACTCATATTGTCACAGAAAAAGAAAAAAGTAACAAGAAGATGGAAAAAAATTAACTGATTATCAAGGGAAATTAATTTTTTTTAATTCTTTTCTCAAACTTTTGGCTTGGGATTGAAAAATAAAGTCATACAATTGGTTCTTGTACGAATTTTAGGAATAAATGTGTTTATTGGATGTTCAACAATCATTATCATCATTATCAGCCCCATAACCGGGTGTGGTCTTAGGGTCCCTGCATAGCTAAGCAGCTGCCACTATATGATTCAGTTGTACACCAATGTCTGAGTTTATGTGAAGGATTTTCAAATTTATTGTCAGCTCACTTTCTCCTCTGTCTACCTTTCTTTTTTTTTTTTTGACTAAGGTTGTATATTATAGGATGGCAGCGAAAAGATTGTTGACATGTGATGTGGCCATAACATTTCACTTTCTCTTCTTGATAGTGGTTATATGGGGTTTGTTTTTTGTCTGATGGTGTCATGCACTGAATCATTTGTGATGTAGAAGAAACATAAGATGTTTAGCGTCTCATTTCTAATGCTTGGTTTTTTAACTGTAATTCTGCTGTAAATGTTCAAGATTCATAGGCATGCAGAAAGATTGCAAAGACAAATGCATACAACAGATGTTTGATTTCAGGTAGATTTTTATGTCTCTCCAGATGGTTCTTGTGACAGGATTATCATTTGTATCAGTTGTGTTTATAACACTATAATAACTACATCATTCTTAGAATTATTTTTATAACAAGTAATTAACTTTTAACATCATAACAGTTGGTGAATAATATTATTTTGATCATCATCACTACCAATAATCTTTCCACTATTAAATCATGAAATAAATTTTGTTATTCAACAAACTTTTCCGTCCTGGGTATGATGATAAACTACATCCACATCCTGGAAGTAAGGCCTCTGATCAAGAGGTTTTGAGGAGCGTGGAACCACCTCTTAATTGCTTGTGTTCCCAGGTTTATCCTGACCCGGGGTGGTAGCATCTGTTAGGGTCCCAGCAATAAATTTTTGATGAAAAAGAAACTATTACCAGCAATACATTTTTGAAAAAAAAATATTACCAACAATACGTTTTTGAAAAAATATTACCAGCAATACATTTTTGGAAAAAAATATTACCAGCTATGCATTTTTGAGGAAAAAAAAATATTGCCAGCAATGCTTTTTTGAGTGAAAAATTATTACCAGAAATAGATTTTTGACAAAACAAAATATTACCAGCAATAAAAACTTTGTCGTCATTAAATAACCCATTGAGGTTGATATGCCGCAAAACACAACAAACCAAATCCACAAACTTTTATAAAATACATGCAAGGGTAAATTTACTCTGTAACTCACCCTCCCCACTGTGCATCAATAAAACAAAACAGCCTACATTGTTTACATATAGTCAGTTTAAGCATTTCACTCCAAGCAAGGTGGGAGTGCCACTAGCATGTAAGGGGGTTACAGAGAGTGAGAGCCAGAGTAAAGAGGGAGGGGTTACAGAGAGTGAGAGCCAGAGTAAAGAGGGATGGTTTGAGGAAAGGATATAGAGAAGGACAGGGGATCAGGATGAAGGCATCAGAAGATGCCAATTGACATTACATTTAAAGATTATAGCTATGACAGAAGTAAGTAGGAGGAAGGGAGTTCCACTGGTAAGAAGTACAAGAGAAAAAGCTGTTGAAATAGAAGAGGTGGTTACATTTAACTGTATTGACAGTGAAAGGGAGGGGCTGAGATGCCAACCTAGTAGCACCCTTAAACTCATGCAGTCGGGGCACCAGTGAAAACAGCTCATTAGAGCAGATGCCATGAAAATATTTATAGAAAAGACAAGACATTACGTGGGTGAGAAAGTTACCATTATATATATATATATATATATATATATATATATATATATATATATATATATATACACACACACACTACAGTTCAAAATTTTGAGGTCAACCCAGATAATTTTTAAAATTGGCCAGAAAAGCAGTTTTGTACTTTAACAAAAAGAAAAAAAGTATTTTATGATTAAATTTTGCTCTCATCAAAATATCCTCATTTAGCCTTCATTACTGCAGCACAAATTTTTCTTTGCAAAAGTGTCTCAAAATATAAATTTGATAATTGATTCCATTCTTTTTTCAATGACTAAGAGCTCTTTTTCATTTTTTTTCCCACTCTTCTGTCAAGTTCATCACATGCTAATTCTGGGGGTCTCTTCAAACTTTTGAACAGCAGTATATATATATATATATATATATATATATATAGTGCGTTCTGCTTGATTATGCAAAGTAAATTTTTCATCTAACGTGTCAATAAATTCTATTTTTTTTCAGACTTGGTGCTTCTTGCAGATTAAATTATACTTTCAGACAAGTAAATATGGTCAATGAAAAAAAAGTTGTATAGTAACATAGTTCTTTTTCTCAAAGTATGTAAAAAGGCACAGTTTCAAGTGTTCGGTCTGATTAATAAATCACCATATAAATCTTTAATATGGGTAAGAAAAAGGGTCTTACTGAAAACGATCATGCTGAAATTACTCGCATGCTTGGAAGTGGTCTGTCAACACTATAAATTTCAAAAAAGTTACATAGAAACCACCGTACAATCAAAGCATTCGTCTCAGGCAGTAAATCATGCAGAAAGACACCTAAACGATCGCATTTGCGATAGTTAACTGCCAGAGATCTTCGTAAAATTAAATATGAAGTCTCGAAGAAACCGCATGAAACTAGTAAAAAAATATTTGAAAGCGCTGGAGTGCACAAAGTTGGTAAAACTACCCGTTGTGAGGTCCTCAAGACCCTTGCCAAAGTGAAGAGTCCCATCAAGAGGCCCCCATTGAGCAAAGCAAACAAGATGAAAAGAGTTGAATGGGCACACAGTTACATGAAGACCAATTTTAGCAATGTGATTTTCACCGATGAGTGCCGTGCTACCTTTGATGGGCCTGATGGCTGGTCATCTGGATGGGTGTTAAATGGTTGACCAGCAGGAGTACGCATTCGTCGACAACAGGGTGGTGGAGGATTGATGTTTTGAGCTGGGATCCGCGGAAATGAACTAATAGGCCCACAAAAAAGTACCCAAAGGGCTTAAGCTAAATTCAAATGCATATTGTAGGCTTTAGGAAGATGCCTTCCTGTCCTGGCTTGATGAACAACCAATTCAGAAAAGAAGATCGTTGATATTTCAGCAGGATAATGCTCCAGCACATAGCCAATTGGTGGTGCTTCTTGATCTATCAGACTATGGGTTCAAAGTGCAAAATTTAATGGTATGGCCTCCAAACAGCCTTGATTTAAATCCAATAGAAAATTTGTGGTCTATAGTCAAGAGGCAGATTAATGCTGAGAACAAGCAATTCACCAGCTTAGAAGTCCTGTGGAAAGCAATTGTAAGTGCTTGCTGATCAATCAAACCTTCTGAAATTGAAACATTGATGTCAGCAGTGGACAGACGCCTCATAACGGTTTTGAAAAATGGAGGATGTCATGTTTATTCGTAGCCGCATTAACAGACTTGTTTTGTTTAACATGCTATACATATGTATTATGTAATGTAGGACTTAGAACACACAATGTATTTTCATATGCGCCACAATTCAATTAATAAAATTTAGTATAAAATGTGTTTTTCTTGTTTTATTTTCCATTTGCATAATGAAAGTGAACACTAAATTAGGGCTTAAGTTTATAAATCATTAAAAAGAAGCACGTTTTGTATATTTTGATAACTTAAATGATTGACAAAATAATAAAATAGTATCAACAACACTTTAGCTTTTATTCTTCAAAATATATTGCTTAACTTGGATATTTTTAGGTAAAAAATAACTTTGCATAATCAAGCAGAACGCACTGTATATAAGTGTGTGTGTGTGTGTGTCTGAATACATATTGCATTTTATATGACTGAATTAAACAAAATATCCTCATTTCGCCTTCATTACTGCAGCAAAAATTTTTCTTTGCAAAAGTATCTCAAAGTATAAATTTGATAATTGATTCCATTTTTTTTTCAATGACTAAGAGCTCTTTTTCATTTTTTTTGTTTTTTACTCTTCTGTCAAGTCCAGCACACGCTAATTCTGGGGGTCTCTTCAAACTTTTGAACAGCAGTGTGTATATATATATATATATATATATATATATATATATATATATATGTGTGTGTGTGTGTGTGTGTGTGTGTGTGTGTGTGAATATATATTACATTTTATATGACTGAATTAAATAAAATGATTCCTTGTCTTAGATACTCAGGCAAAGGAACAGATTTTGAATTTTATTTTTAGGAAAGAATTAAGAATATTTAAATGATTAATGGTATATTAAAACAAAAATACAATCAATTTGGATTCACAGACATAAAAACAAGAATTAACAGGATCTATTTCATAAATCTTGTACAAAGAATTGGTTATTTTGCTCAGTGCAAGGTTCATGTTGAGTAATGATTTTGTTAAATTCTTTCCAGACTGCATCATTGTTGAAACAAACTGTGCCTCCTGCACGATACATCTGATGTTCCTGAAGGAGAAAATAAAGAACAGATAAAATTACATTCATAATAAAAATAGGATTCTAAAAATAGACTTTGCTGGAAGTCAAATATTTATTTAAGTTTGTGTTTGTTATAAGTAACATTCATCTCTAGAAGGATACTGCGAAATGTGGCTCTACAGAAGGATACTGAGAATCTCATAGACTGAACATGTGAATAATGGGAAGTTTTAAGGAAAACAGAAACAAGAAGAATGCTTAGTTAGAATCAGAAAAAGACAATTGAAATTTTGGCAGATCAGAGATTGGGAGAGATAACAAAGGTTAGGAAGTTGTGGAAAGCCATGATCGTCCATGTTCTGAAGGGACATGGCACATAGAAGAAAATATTCATCAGTTCAGGCCATATTTATTCTACTTGAAGGAATTTCTTTTTTACATCAATAAGCTATAAAAAAATCTGTCTGAAGATGGTCAAGCGAAAATATAATCAGTCATGATATAAAAACAGACATATTAAAAAAGGTGGGAGGGAATATAAAAATGTCTGATCTTTTAACATTACAGAAATACTCTATCCTCAAGAAGATTTGAAAATATAATAATGAATACAAAATAAATACATGCTTTTTTATTTTTTTAATAAGCAAAAAAGTATTCATTTTTAAAGAAAAGCTAGTGAATAATGTTATTACATTATTACTAGTTTTATTTCATTACATTATGACATTTTATCACAATACTATAGCTTAATACATTATTATTATTATTATTTTATTATGAACTTTACTCTATCTTATTATTGTTGCTTTTTAGATGAAGCATTTTCACTATTATTATTTTATTACATCTTATTATTGTTACTTAATTAAAATGATTGTGTACTTTCCAGACAAATGTTATATATCATACTTACCTGTCGGTTGATATCACCAATGCATACCCATTTTTTATCACTTTGGTAAGTGATGGCCCATTTGGAATGGTCTCTTGTTTCTTTGAAATCAATGTCTGCTCGTTCCGCAAAAGGCATTTTTATGTATTTGACATTGAACACCTACCATCAAAGAGAAAACAAACAGAACTTTAGAATTCTTTAGACATTAAAATGTCTTAAATATTAAATTAAAAAAAAAATCTTATGCTGTCATTATATTTATTATTACACTTACATCTTTATTTCAGATCTCTTTAAAAAAAAATTATTTTATTTTTAAAAGAGAATAACAACTTTGGGAAATACTACATATTCTTAAGTGACACAAATTCCTGACATGATGTATTATCATCAACATTAATTTTAAACTAGTTTATCTACGTCCATATCTCTGAGATGAGGTATTATGATTATTTACATTATTTAGATTATTCAGACTGCTATCCTCATCTTCATTGCCATATTCACAATGTTTTGGCAAGGATATATGGCCCAGTGGATAATGACATTGATTAGATCCAGTGACTAGACCCAAAGAGCTGTGAGTTCAATACCAGGCCACAGAAGTGGTGAACCAAAAAACTTAGAGAGTTGAGTTAAAGGGAAATAACCGAGACGTCCAGAAGAGGCATGGCATGTGGAACTAGAACAATCTACCCCAGTGGATGAAATAAAGGCTTCAGTTCGAAATTCCAATCACCTGATGAAGTCCGGAGCATACAACAACCGAAACATTGTGAATATGCCAATGAAGATGAGGATAACAGTCAGAATAATGTAAATAATGTAAATAGTTTATTTTATTTTTGCTGTTTTTTTTTATTGCAATACATGAGCCATTTCTCCATTCTGTAACCATTGGCATGCTCAGAGAGCAAAAGGTTTGATCAGTGTCATTCAAAGCAAGCAAGCAGCACACTATCATAACAAAAATCTAATGATTTTTTTAAAATTAAAATTGTAAAATCATACACATCTCCAAAACAAAATACTCTCTATTAATCATCTGAGAGAAACCTTTTTACCTCCTAACCTCCTAGAGAGTGACTTGCTGCAACTTCTTGGGCTAACATTCTTGGCTGACATGATGTGGAAAGATTATATTGAATCCATTGCTAGGTCTGCTGCTAAGAAAGTTGATTCACTGTATTGTGCTAGACAATTTTTCTCTCCAGAATCAATCTTAGATATTTATAAGTCTACCATTCATCCTTGCTTTGAATATTGCTACCACATATGATCTGGTGCTTCTGATGTAGAGATTCTTGATAAAATCCAAAGAAGGATCAGCAATATTATTGGTCCTGACCTGACATCTCAGCTTCAGTTACTTTCTCACCAGCATAATATTGTTTCCCAGTGTCTTTTCTATAAATACTTTCATGGTAACTTCAGATAAACTCTTCCCTCTGGTACACAGACCTTATGAATTTAAGTGCAGTACTAGATTGGCAACAAGATTTTATTAATTTATAGTTGAAATGGCTGCTAGATGTAATGAAATGGCTGCTAGATGTAAGCATAAGTTCGATGCTAACAGTTTCTTTTCTCAAACTTCTCACTTATGGAACTCTCTTTCAAGTCAATACTTTCCAGCCAACTTTGATCTTCAAAAATTTAAATGCAATGTCAATCCCTACTATCCTCCTGATTACTGTTCTTTAGTTCTTGATTATTAGTAATGTTTCTGTTTTTTAAATCTTCTACAACCAGTAACCCTTTGTGTCTTTATTGCCTTTCTTGGTGTGAACTCAATTAAAAGGAAAAAAAAAGGAAAGAAAGAGAAAAATGCAAAATTCTTCAATTTTGAGATTCTACTTACAGAATATTTTCCTGTACAATCAGAGTACAATTTGTGGGCTCCATTTTGCCAAGTTTCCGTCAAAAGGTTACTGCCTAAATCTGGAGCTAACCAATCATGGTAAAGGTCTGGAAATAAAAGAGCCTATGAATTAGATTAAATCAAGATTGTAGAGAGATTTTTTTCACTCTTCAAAAACCAAACATCAAATGAATAAAGCAGTTTTTATAATCACTGACAAAACACTACAAATATTTTCCATCCAATCAAAAGGACTCTTTTCCAAATCCATCACTTGAGTCACATTTAGTTTTTAAATACAAGACATTAAACTAATTTAATCAGTAGGGAAATGATCACTGAAATTAATGTCTCCTCTCACAATTTACCCCCTTACTATTCATATACATACTGATACTACTTGTCAGATTACCTCCTCCTAATTTTCAAAACCACTACCAAGGGAGGCTTTCCGGGCTATAAATACTCAATGCCATCTTCTCATTTTTTCCACTTACACGTCAATATGTAAGTCTATTGTGGAAGAATGCATTCCCTTTCAGGAAATGCATGAACAATACATGTACACATACATACACACTGTTCACTTCATTTTTTCTAGGACATTCTCCTACACCAAACTACAGATACACAAACAATTCACTAGTTTAAATGTTTTCTTCATTCATGTTCAGTAACACATAAACAATATTCTATTTTATATGTAACCTTTTATTGTTAATACATTATCATTTGTTTGTATACATTTATAGTGGTATTTGTTGTTTCTTTTATTTTCTTTACGTGGATTCATATTCCATGTCTGCCATGTTGGTTGTGGGCATTTCAGGAGACACGCGTATTTATCTCTCAACGCGTACACCGGCTCACAACACTACTCATAAAACTCAACACATGACAATGCAATGATTCAAACATTCCCTACTCATGTGCCAATTCAACAACATATAACCAGAAACTGAAACCAACTTTACTACAATCTTTAAACTTTCCAAGCCAACTTTAGTGAGAAGATATCTAAACAATTATACATTTTTATCATAAACTATTTACACTCTGTACAATAAGGAATCTTTTGTTAATGTTATTGTTAACATTGGATTCATCATTTTGTTTCTATTCAGTATTTAGTTTTCCTAATTATGTTCCATTTCCAATAACTAATTCCATACTTAGCCAGCTACTATATACCCAAGAGAGCATCTCAACTCACAGTGTAAAGCAGGAATCTGGACAAATATTGTACTGACCCCCACAATCTGGGAACCAGACTTTAGTTTATAAAGTACAGAACTCAAGATAATGTCCGTGACTAGTAAGCTCAATTTTATCCTCACATATTAATGAATACAATTCACTCATCCCTATAGATCTACAATAACAAACCAACAAAATCTGAAAATGTTTTCTATGGAAGATTTTAAATAAATATGAATATAACGAACATGACTGGAATTGGAACTCGGCTTTCCAATTTCCAATTCAGAGTCATTTTCCATTACACCACCTGCACATCCAAGCTTACAGCTTCTGGTATTCCCAAACAGTCATTTATCTAAGTAATGACCAGGCTTGACATTGCTTAACTTTGGTGATCATACAGGAACTGGTGCTTTGACATGATATGGCCATAGGCTGCATGATTTATCTGCAATACTTATCTGACCCATGCATTTAATATATAACCTTCTGGTGAATTAGGCAAATTTTACTAAAAAACCTTTTGTAGAGAGGATTATGATTTTGGAACCTTAAATCTATCATTTATTCTTTTATAATGATAAATAACAAAATCTGGAATCAGATTGCCTAATTTATGAAGTGTCAAAATATGGAGATATAAAAAAAGCAATAAATGATATACCACTCCAAACTCATATATATAATTTTCTGTGAAAATTTCTTGGACATTCAAGCTGGTAAATGTTGTTTAATCCTGTTTATTATAAACAGAGCATTTACTTAAATATTTGTATCTATAAAAAGAATGTATAAACATAAAAATGTCTTAATATATTTATATATATATATAATGTACATATATAAATGTAAATAATCTCACATCAGAATATATATATATATATATATCATTAATGCATGTTTCATTAAATAATATAGACAAGTTTTGTCCATTTATTTTAAGTAAGTTCCTTTCATATTGTCTGAAAAGCTTAATCACATTATCATTGAAAGATAATTGATACATGTTTAAATCCAATCTAAGCTTTCAGCTTACACAAGCCATTATCAATGATGACAATTTCAATAAATCAAACAACAATGATAGTCCGCCCTTGCTGCATGAAAATTTCCAAGTAACGACAAACTCATATATACAAGGCGCATCACAGCTCATGACATCATACATGACCACGCGAGAGTGAAAAATGAGAAGTATTAAGTATGGGAAGCCGTTGGTAAAAACCAATGGCTTCTGTTATAAATTATAGGAACTTACTTAAAATAAATAGACAAAACTTGTCTGTATTATTTAATGAAACATGCATTAATGAAAAATTGCTGCCTAAATATATATATATATATATATATATATATATATATATATATAAAATATTGACAGCAGGCAATGTAAGTTATTCTACATGAGTGGAAGAGTTAAAGTGTTATACAATTTTATAAATTCTAAAAAGAAAGCCATACCTTTTCCAAACTTGCCAAATTTTGCATAGCTCACAAATTTATTGCCTGCTTGAGACACAAGAGTTACTTTGTTAAACCAAGGTGGGCTTTTAATTATTGGACCACTACCATCATAAATCACAGTAGCCATATTGGGATTACTGCCAGCCATGTTGTCTGGAAAATTCTTGTCATAAATTTGTGGGTAATTATATTGCAATTGTTTTCCTAAAAAAAAAAAAAAAAAATGAAACTTGAATATTCAAAATAAAGAGTTACACTTTAAAAAAACATCTAAACTCTAAAAAACAATGTCTTAATATTTGCTAGGGTTAATATATTTATGCAATAGAAATGGTGAGTCATAAAAAAGGCTAATATTCACTTTAAAATGGGAAAATGCATTTGAATTTATTATAGTATTCATTGAAAATCAAATCTAAACATGACAGAGGAAGAGGGAAGAATCTTATTTAGCTTAGCCTGACACCCAATGAGGACAAAATTCAATGCAGTAACAATGACCTGCAAATATACTGCTTTCTGATAGATGTTCATATTTCTTAAATCATTAAAGCTATCATCACATTTTGGGGACAGTAGGCATTCATGGGTTATAGGTAAAAGCCTATAATTATTAGGCAGATTTTCTTTAAAAAAAAAAAAAATATATATATATAATTAATAATGTATTCTTATTTTAATTAATGCCAGAATTTACAGTGTGCGCTAGTGGTTTAAGCAATACATACATAGATACACACATGCACGGATATATAAGTGTCATATAAGAAGAAAATGTGTAACTACTGACACCAAGATTCGAGCGTGACACTCTGGACTATGAATATATGTTTTCTACCAGGTGTATAAATAGCAGTGTCATTATTGAATGACTATTAAGTGGAACTATCCAGTTGAATTAGTGTGAATTATTGTGTGTTGATGATTGGGGTTTTGATTCAGGATTTACTGGACATTAAGCCGAGCCATGCTACTAACAAGGTATTCATTGAAATGGTTAATTATCTTTGGTTGACTTTTTACTTCTTTGTTCTTGTTAAGTATTTATTTACAGTTGTAATTAAATACTGTCTTAGCATTGAAGTCTTGCATTATACTTAATTATTAACAGCCACTGTATGTCACAAAAATGAGAGAAAGTGTCTTATATTTTCTTATCAATGATGAACATTTATTACTATGCTTACAGAGGCCATATTGTTTTTAAATTAAAGTTTATGAATTGAAAAGATATAATTGGCATCAAACTTGATACTTTCTGTCTTTTAGAAGCTCATCAATGCATAGCTCTGTCGAAGAGGCTAATAAATTTTATGGTTCATGTTACATGAAGTGCTCTCCAAAAGTATAGAATGTTTGAACAATGTGAATAAAACAAATGTAGTACAGGCCTTGCCACTACCCTTCATGAGAAGATGCACAAACAGCAGGCAAAAATTACTTTGAAGATGACAATAGTGTCTGTGCAAGTCATTTTGTCATAATCAAATTTCTGTAACCTTTAAGTAGTTTATCATGTGTCACGTTTAATGAACTTGCTTATCTATTTACAATATTTACATTGTCATATTCACAATGTTTCAGCCAAAGTACACTTCAGCCTTCTTTAAGTGATAAGAATTGCAAACCAAACCCTTTATTTCATCCACCGGAGTAGATTGTTCTAGTTCCACATGCCATGCCTCTTCTGGATATCTCAGTTTCAGTTATTCCCCTTTTCTAACTCAACTCTCAAGTTTTTGTTCATCTCTGCTGTGGCCAGGTATTGAACTTACAACTCCTTTGGGTCAAGTCAGTGGATTACTTCAATCAAAGGGTTCAGTTCAAAATTGCAGTCACCTGAAGAAAACCAGAGCATACAATGGCCGAAACTGTGAATATGACAACAGAGATGAGTCCAAATAATGTAAATAGTTACAATACCTCATCTCAGAAATATAGACAAATATTGCTTATCTATAAAAGACAAGAGGAATTTTTTAACTACAATGCACCACAAGTTATCCTAATTTTTTACTTGTACACCTTAAGTTATTGGGATTCAGCATCCAATGCATAATGCCAGCAGTAGGGATACTTTTGTAAAAATTATATAAACTGGTAGATACTATAATTTCACTGCAATTTAACTGGCCATTGTGCTATAACTTCAGTCATATTAAAAAAGCATTAAAAAAGTCAAGTCTGTTTTACCTCAAGGGAAATTGAATTTAACGATTGAACATTGAAGAAACATATATAGAAAATGAAAGAGGTTAAAAAGAACAAATTAAACTTGCCAATGTCATTCATTGCTGAATAAGGGAAAGAAATGCAGAGGAAAGACTGGCCATAAGTGTGTCCTGTGTCTGGCCAACTGTAGCCCTCACTTCGTTTAGGACTAAAATGTGGAGTGCTGTGGACCAACCAGAAACCACTTTGGTAATCAAAAGACACCACACCTATAAGAGAAAAATATAGTAGTCACAGGTTTCGGTTCTGGCTTATATATATATATATATATATATATATTATGAAATGGACAAAATCTGACAATTATTTTAAGACATTTTTATGTTCATACATTCTTTTTATAGATACAAATATTTAAGTAAATGCTCTGTTTTATAATAAACAGTATTAATAACATTTACCAGCCTGAATGTCCGAAAAATTTTCATAGAAAATATTCGTGTGCACACACACACATATATATATATATATATATATATATATATATATATATAGATAGATAGATAGAGAGAGAGAGAGAGAAGATTTGAAAGAAAAAGAAAGAGTTGAAAGAAAGAAAGAAAGGAGAATTTTTTTATCTTTTTTAATCAAGCAAAGCAATAATGCCACTAAGACACAAGGGGTTCTGGGAGTGTAAAAGAATGAGGAGATTTCAGAAGGAACTGGAAACCCAATCCTAAACAGAAAACAAGGGATAAACTTCTACTCTTGTTTAAAAGACCCGACAGGAGTTGAAAGAAAGAAAGAGTTTAAGAAAAGAAAAAGAAATAAAACTTAAAGAAAAAATGAAATGAAGCTTACAAATGAAGAAAATAAATTAGAAGTGAAATAATTACTATAGGTGGAAAGTTTTAAGTTGCAAATAAAATTGTTTTCTTTTTTTTTCATTTTTTAGTAAAAGACAAATTCTAGGCTCTAAGAACAGATATCAGCACCAATCTTCTCTCCAAGTAAATAAAGAACAAGGTGATGCCTATTATCGAGGTAACTGTAGATGGAAAAAAAAAAAAGTGTACAGCCCTGGTTGACTCTGGCTGCTCATGGACACTGGTGAGCAAATGCACACATGGTGCCATTGGCGACCAATGGAGACAAAAGTCCTTATGGTTGACGTTAAGGCCCTAAATGTGGTGGACATGTCAGTATTACACTGAAAATTGGTCATGCTCAACCTGTGTGCATTGATGCTCTAATTATGGACAGACCACTACTTGGGTTTGATCTTCTTCTTGGGATTGATGCAACTATTTCCATCAATGAGCCTGACTTTAATGCAGAGTTCAATCGTTGTAAAAAAGTATAGACAACCTCATGAAAGTGGACGAATGGACAACCACCTATAGCCGTAAAGAATAGAGTGCCAGAATACGCAGTACCTGACTATGGGGTGGAGCTCCAGTTGTGGCTGGATAATGGGTGGCTGCGGTCATATCCTGAAGACAAACATAGCCCACCTAAGTGTCTGATCCCATTAATGGCAGTTATACAAGAGAGCAAATAGAAAGTTCGTCTAGTACTGGATTACCAAGAGTGAAATGGCTTTGTGGAACTGTATACTGCTAACTCGGAGGTGTGTGCACAAAATTTGCAGGAATGGCAACTACTGGGGGCTAACTTATCCTTATTGAACTAGTGAAAGGCATCATATCTGTAGATACATGTTGACAAGGCAACCCTTCAATATTACAGTTTGATAGGGCCACAGTGCCTTGTCAACATGTATCTGCAGATATACCCTTTGCTAGGCCAATAAGGATATTTTAGCCACCAATCATCACCATTTCCACAACTTTTGTGCACACACCTATGAGTTAGTGGTATATGGTTCCACAAAGCTATTTAATTCTCACTAATACAGTACTGGATGGACTTTCTGTTTTCTCTCTTGTATAACTGCCATTAATGTGATCAGGCACTTAGGTAGGCCAAGTTTGTCTTCGGGATATAGCCGCAGCCACCCATTATCCAACCACTATTGGAGCTCCATCTCATATTCACCCCATGCATAGTCTGGTATTGCATATTCTGGCACACCATTCTTTGTCCACTTCCATGCAGCCGTTCATACATTCTTATGATGATTGAATTCTTCAATAAAGTCAGGTTCATTGATGGAAATAGCAGCACACTGGGGCATGCTTCCTTCAAAAAAGTGCACTTCTCCCAAGCGAGTTATATACACCTCCTCCCACATGTATGACAGGAAGCAAGCTCTTGTTGACATAAATGTCATCAATATATGCCAATGTGATATTCCAAATGGCTTTGTTTTGAGACAGTACTGTGTCAATTACAGTTTTCAAGAGTGCCACATTTAAACCGAAACCAAGTCAGGTGAGGTGGTATCCTCAACCCTTCAATATTACAGTTTGATAGGGCCACAGTGCCTTGTCAACATGTATCTGCAGATATGCCCTTCACTAGGCCAATAAGGATACGTTAGCCCTCAGTAGTTGCCATTCCCATAAATTTTGTGCACACACCTCCGAGCACTGTGGCCCTATCAAACTGTAATGTTGAAGCGTTGAAAATATTCAAACAAAAAGTCCATCCAGTACTGTATTAGTGAGAATTAAATAGCTTGGGGAACCATATGCTGCTAACTTGTAGGTGTGGGCACAAAAGTTGTGGAAATGGCAATGATTGGTGGATAACATATCCTTATTGGATTTGTATCTGCAGATATGCCCTTTGCAAGTCCAATAAGGATATGTTATCCACCAATCATCGCCATTTCCACAACTTTTGTGCACACACCTACCTATTACAGCTTTCAAGAGTGCCACATTTAAACTGAAACCAAGTCAGGTGAGGCAGTATCCTCAACCCTTTAATATTACAGTTTGATAGGGCCACAGTGCCTTGTCAACATGTATCTGCAGATATACCCTTTGCATATTGACAAGGCACTGTGGCCCTATCAAACTGTAATATTAAAGGGTTGAGGATACTGCCTCACCTGACTTGGTTTCAGTTTAAAATGTGGCAATTACAGCTTTCAAAGCTGTAATTGATACAGTACTGTCTCAAGACAAAGCCATTTGGAATATCACATTGGCATATATTGATGACATTTATGTCAACGAGAGCTTGGTTCCTGTCATATGTGGGAGTAATTTCTACATTGGTGATGTGTGCAGGACTTCAAGAATGACTTATTGAATAGAAGCATTCGATGTTGTACAAGTGACGTCAGAGGAATTTAACTATATATTTATTCTTGTTTCAGATAACTTCTTGAATTATTGCAGATGCACTTTCAAATACAATGGGTTAAAAACATGAAAGATTTTTTAAAGTTGCTAAAAAGAAAACTGAACAAAACAAACAGCAAATAAAGAAAAGAAAAATACAAAGAAGGGAAGAGAGAGAGAGTGAGTGAAGAAGAAGAAGAAGAAGGATATAAGCAAGGCAAAGAAGGAGTGAGCAAAGAAAGAAAGAAAGGAAAGAGAGTGTAAACAAAAACATGAGAGGAGAATGAAAAAAGTGTGAAAGGAAAAGTGAGAAAAAACATTCAAAGAGAGAGAGGTTGAGAGTGAGTGGGTATGAAAGTAGATGAGAGAAAAATAGAAGATCGCCAAATGACAATAAGGATTACCTTTAGTATGGCCGAAAGACTCACTTGTAGAGCCACCAGGAGTTTCGTCATTGTACATCAAATACATGAAATCCTGTTTCAAAAGACAATGAATTTTCGTTTGGAAAAAAATAAAAAAATAGTTCAGCGTTTTGAAATTGGGGTGAAATGATTACAAAAAAGAAAAAAAAAATGGTTAACACAGAAAATGGAACCAAAGAACTTAGATCAAATTCCAGTCAAAGTAGTTTATATTCAATTTGCACTTTTTTCTTAGAGAAAAGCATGGATCTACTTTTTCTTATACATAAGCTTTGGGATTATTCCTTGCTGCAGATATCAATCTAAGATAGCTTATCCAGTGTTACTTAGAAAGGAGATGGGTATTGCCAAATAATTTTTGTAGGCTCAAGAAATACCATGAAGGAATCTACGCTGTCTATGAGGTCAGGGTTTCAGAAATGCTTTTCCTTTCACATATCCTTTTGACATTTGATGTTATAGTGTTCAAGGTTAAAATAGGGTAAACATTTAGGAGCTGGCATAAGAGGTGGGTGAGGCCAAGGTGAAGACAGAAAACGAATTACCTCTTTGGGAGAGGGGTTGGTCAGGCCAGAGGGAAAAACAGAAGTTGCATGAGCTTCAACTCATAAAAAGGGATAAAGTCCTGAGAACATGAGAATCTTAATCCCGTACCTTCTAGATGTCTTTTGCAAACCCCTTGGGGTCTGCATACACTTTTTTGAGAAGTGCTGTACAGTCATTGTATAATTTCATTTGAATTATTTTTGTAATTTCTGTTGAGTTAGAAGCCAAAATGTCAAAATAAATAACAACTGTCCAACGAAAAGAATTAATAAAGTTTGTATTAAAAAGAAAAAGGGCAAAAATGAAATACAGTGATCCCTTACTAATTCGCAGTTCTACTTTCGCGGATTCACGACTTTGCGGATTTTTTAAATATATATATGGAAAATATATCACGGAGTTTCTAGAAAATTCTAGAAAAATCGCGATATATGAACACCTAAAATTTTTCATTAAACCCATTAAAATATTAATAATAAATATTATTTCCTGGTCTAGGAACAACAAAACAAGCGTAAAATAGCAATAGAAAGGGCACCGCTGTCTGAAGAGACATAAAATACAATTATCAGCTGCACAGTAGAAGTCGTCATCAGCTTCATCATCATCATTTCTACTGCACAGCAAATTCATCATCATCATCATTCAAATTCTACTTCAACTTCTTTCGTGTTGAATAAAGTAACAATCTTTATTTTCTTTTTAATCTAAAGTGTTATTGCTTAACAGTTGTCCTTGTTATTAATAAAGTACTGTAATGGGTGGGTTGTTAACAGTACAGGGAGGGTTTTAAAAGTACAAATATACGTTAAATAAATACTGTGAATATGGCTTCCCTACTTTGTTGAAATTCGGTTATCGCAGCAGGTCTCGGAACCAATCTACCGTGATAAACGAGGGATCACTGTAGTATCAAGCAAGCAAACAATACATGCAAAGCAAATTAACAAGAAAGAAAGCAAAAAGTTTACAGACCACAAATTGGTGTCTATACACAAAGATAAGGTCAGAGAAGTGAATGCAGTCGTCTGTCTTATAGAGAAGGCAGATCTGAACAGAGTCAAAAAATTGTAAACTGACCTATTTTATTGACTAAGAAAAATATCCCAACATGCATTTTGTGGACTTTTGACTATAAAAGGGGAAGGGTAAAAGTTTTGCAGTCATTCCCCTGTTAAGTGAAATCAACATTTTCTGATCCAGTTATCTACCAGAGTGGTAGCACCTGTTAGACTCCCAGCTATGGGTAAATAGTGACCCCCCCCCACTCCAAAGTAGGGTCAAACATTAGTAAAGTATAAAAATACATTTTCATAGTAAAAATAACAATAATACATTTTTGTAAATGAAATTACTAATGCTCCCAAGAAAATTAAATTTCAGCATTAAATGATCCATAAAGAGGTAAAGAAACAAACCCTTCTTGGAAACCTGATTATCTATCATACAAAAGGTGGTATTAGAAAGCTTCCAGACTGTTCTATGTGGGTACCATTTAACAGGAATACACATGCAGTTAACACTCATTGGTATAACACTTACTGAATCAGTTATCAAATAGGCTTTGACTGATGAATAGCAAACTTGGGTAATGTGATGTTTTTTTAAAAAAAAAATTTTTTTAAATCACCAAGAGATATTATAATTATGATAGGGACACAAGTTTATTACATGACAGCTCACTGTCAACTAAGTAACCTCTTCCACAAGAGGGTTTTCTTGTATGTGCAGCAAGGTTCCCTCTAAATGGTTACTTACTTACATCAAAGTCATACAAGTAGTTCTAAAGATATTCAAAAGTAGCTAGATACTTTATACTCACCTTTTCAAGCTGCTACCATAGTGCAATGGTTAACAAGCTGATATTATAAACCAATTCATTAACACTGCAAGTTTTATTCTTCAGTATCTGTCTATATTTCTGAGATGAGGTATTATGCACATTATTTACATTATTGGGACTATTGTCATCATTTTTGTCACCATGGCACGTGGAACTAGAACAGTCTACCCCAGCGAGTGAAATAAAAGGTTCAGTTCGACATTCCAACTACCTGAAGAAGGCAGGAGCGTACAACGGCCGAAACGTTGTAATAAATATGGCGACAAAGATCAGGACAATAGTCCAAATAATGTAAGTTTTATTCTTACTGAGAACTCTGCTGTTATGGTTTTGTGTTAGACAACAGTTAATAAGAAGCTATAAATATGCTCTTTATTTTACAAGATGAATGAAAATAAAAACTCACATTATCTGTTTCATTGTAAATCTGTTGCATTGTATAATACACAGCATGGCCACCTTTGTCGATTGAAAGATCTGGAGAAGTTTTCCATGATGGGCTGTTGACATCCAGGTAATAAAAGCCAAGACCCTGTGTATAAACTTCTGGGACATCACGAATCTTTGGGATCTTGTAGACAATGAACCTATTAAAGAAAGTTCCTTTAATGAGTACAAGTTTTGATTATAATTCATAAAGTTAATCTGTTTGGAGAATGAGGTAAGTAAATAAGATTCAAGGTAAATAAAAAAGGTTTTATGAAGACTCACTTAAATGCCACCTTCAGTAGCCTTTAATCAATAGTAAATTTCTGTAGTAATAATACAGATCAGTAACACCTAATGAAATAAGTAAAATTACTAATATGTGGAAACAGGACAAGCAATAATTGAGTAGTACTAAAAATAAGAACTAGACGAGTTATCTCCCCTAGACATGGTCACTAGAAAATTTCACCCCATAAATTAAATAAAGGGTTCAGTTTGAAATTCTCTGAAGGCTACCCTGACCAACAAGCACCTAATGAAGGCTGGAGGGCACAATGAGTAAAATATTATAACAACAACAACAAGGATGAGGATAACAGTGTGCATGTAATTAAAAGTGTTACAATTTAATGTATTTCAAGGTGAGCAGAATTTTTGTCACAAAAGTGCTAAATAAAACATTACAGCAACAATAGTCAATGAATTAATAATCAAATGTCTTAGCTTTTGACCAATTTCAAAGTTTCATAAACACAGTGCTCATCAGAGTGAAAGGGTCAGATAAATCTATTGAATTATTAACAGATATTATATTTATAATCTACATAAGAAACAATGGTAAACTTGGACCTTTGTGCCTGCAAAATGAAAGAACAGTAAAAAGGACAGTTTTTCCGTTGAAACCACTATTATTTTAACTACCATCAATGCTTGGTTTATTATTTTAAAAAGCAATGAGTAAAATTGTAATAAAACCTAAACATATGTTTAGATTGTATAACAATTCTAATAATTCTGAGATAGGTACATGGCCGAGTGATTAGAACGTTCGCTTTCTGACTATGAAACCCGGGTTTGAATCTCACCATGGTCAATTTGTCAAGAAGATGACTTCCTGATGTTATCAGTCTGGAGGAAGCAATCCCAGACTGTGGCACCTTTGGAAAGTGCCTGAAAAACCATATCACAGGTTGACCAAGCCATATAAGTGAAATTGGACAGACAGAACACTTGGGAGCCCTCGATGGCTGTGCTAGCATGAAGTTACATGTCATCATGACTGAGCTTTGAGCGTGCTGGTCTTGTTCAGATTGTTGATCATGCTAAATAACATGCTTCTCTCCCAGAAACTGTAACTAAGGTCTGCTCAGCATAGTTGCAGTATAAACCACAGGTGGGACCTGTGGGTGTTGAAAAAACACATGTGCCTGAGCAAGTGTCTGTAATAGGGATTAACTAGCCACCCTAGTAGACGGGTATCCTCGAATATGGTGGCCAGCCATACAATTCTAATAATCACTTTTTAAAACAATAAACATTGCCAAAAAGTGAAGGTAACTAAAATAACAGCAGTGTCAAGAGAAAGAAAAACATTCCTTTTGACACTGTTTTATTTTGTTTTTTTAGGCACAAAGGTCAAAGTTTGCTGAAACAGTAATTGTAGACTCCAAACAACTTTGAAATTTGTACTAAACCACTGATTCCCAACCGATTTTGGGCCATGCCCCACTTTTGTATTTCTAAAATTCTGTGCCGCCATGTAATATTTAATTCTTACATATTCAGAATATTACTGCAGTTCACATGAAGGAAGCTTAAAGGGCCATTAACTTGGTTTCTAAACAAGCTTCCAAAGACCATGGCGTACATGAAAGAGAAAAATTAAAAAAACAAGACCGTTAAATATAGTAATTTTCCAAGCGTAGCTTAGATGTGACACAAGGCCAAAAGTATGGGGCACCCAGTGAGGATCGAACTCACTACTCAGCCATAATTGTTCTAGCCAGACAAGCTTGCTAACCATTACACCACCTCAAGGTGCCCAAGATGAAATAATAGTTATTTTCCAAGCATAGCTTAGATGTGGCACAAGGCCGAAAGTATGGGGCATCTAGTGAGGATTGAACTCACTTTTCAGTTGTAAGTGATCTAGCCAGACAAGCTTGTTAACCATTACAGCATGCCGAGGTGCCCAAGACCATTAAATATATATAGTTTCAAAACATAATAGGGAAATAAAATGCAGAAATATAAAATATTTGAATGAAAGCTTATTCTGTAATATATTTTGATCATTTTAATTATGAAATAATAATGCAAACATAAAATTTGAGCTCACGTTGATATAGTAAGCTGAAGGGTGCACGAATGCCTTACCAAAATATTACCATGCACCCCACCTTGGGAATCATTGCAATAGACTAAAAGCCATTAACAGTATGGCAACATTTAAATATTCAAAACCACTACAACATTTAAACGTTAAAATTTCGATTTTTATTTTTTCTTATCTTTTTAGACATAATTCTATTATAAGTTGTATTTTGTAAAAATCTTAGAAAATAGTACAAGCTCAACAAATTCATCAAAATTCATATAATTCTGAAATGTTAATCACCACTCATCACTCTCTTAAAAAGGGGAAACAACTCTATAAGAATATTTGAAATTATCTCCCGTAGATAAATTGATAAAAGAAAAATATCTATCTACACAAATAAAATGAAGTATATGCCCGTAGAAACTACGGAATGGGTTTCAACTAAAATTAGCATGAAGATAAGTCAACCCTGAAGGTCATGAAACCAAAAATAAAGTCAAAGAAGCATTTTTCATAGAAGTTAAATATTTATTCCCACTTGTATTTATTGGTAAGGAAGGAAAAAAGTTTTGTTAGTAAATTATAATGGTAAATTATCTTAGTTATTTTAATAATCTATACAACTAAATTAAAATGACTGTCTTTTTAATATCCAAACACAATTACTTTCCGAGCAACGCTGAGAATCTAGCACTTAAGAAATAAGTAAATAAATTGCTATCATTTGATAAATTAAAAAGAATATTCAGAAACTGGCAGTCCGCTTAGACGAAAAATCGTATTTTCCTTCAAGTTAGATGATTTTGACAGTGTTGCAGACACAAAAATCATGCTACGATGTATCGCCTCTGCTTTATTGCAGCAACAGGCACACATACCTACAAGGGCCTATTGGTTGAAAGATTTATTTTTGGAACGTCGGGGTTACCAATTGTAAAGGTGTCCGTTTGTAGATAGACCAATACTATTTATATTATTATACTTTCAACGTACGGGATTCAAGTAAACAACAAAAACTCCAAACTGTGAATCAACAGGTATATATTGAAATAACATACAAAAACAAACATGCAATAAAATTGTATTCAATGTATAGATTAAGTGAAAGAAGTTGTTCCTCTTTAATTGTATTTTGATTTGTAATTGATTGTTTGAAGAAAGTTCTTTTCGAAAGAAAAATATTCAGGATCAATATTAGAACAAGGCCTGTTTGTTAGACTAGATAACACAAGAATACAACAAATGTGTTGTGTTATAGAATGGTTCGAAATCAACAGAGTCCTGGTTGATTGAGCTTGGCTAAGTCACACAGAGAGAAATGTAAGTTTATGTTACGAAATTCTGTGTCTGTGTGTGCGTTTGAAATGTTATGCGCAAGATCGTGGACTTGTGCGGACAGGTGAATTTTACTGGATCTTACTGACGACTTGTGAAAAAGTTACCTCTTTTAAAGAAAAAGGGTAGGCTCCCACGGCAACGCGAGAAAACTTAATCTTGCACTAAAATATGTGATTGGTTAAAAATTAACCAATTATTACATTCGTACTAACAGAACAAGCACCCAAGCTCAAAACCGAAGGATTCAAAGAAACGACTGCGATGGCTAAATTGTCCTATATAAAAGTAGTAGTGATTTATTAGCTAATCGCAGGCAAATAAAATGTGGGCATGGAAAAAAACAGCAATCACTACACAACAATCGGATCAATATTATAGAGATATACAAATCTTTCGAGCACGCACATTCAAATTAAAGGCTTAAGAAACACATTTACTATTTATTTAAAAAAAAAAAAACATTTTTTTTTCATCACACTCTTTCGGTCGCTCTTCTTTCCGACGTTACTCAGGTGCCTAACGAATTTTGAAACTTGTTTCCTTTTTACGTTCCCTGCCATTCCTTAAAGAGATTTCGGAAATTTGGTTTGGTTTGGTTTACGGCATATTAACCTCAATGGGTTATTTAATGCCGACAAAATTATTACTGCTGGTAATATTTTTCCTTCAAAAATGTATTGCTGGTAATAGTTTTTTTTTTTCTTCAAAAATTTATTGCTGGAAATTATTTTTTTTTTTTACAAAGTATTTCTGGTATTAAAACCTATCTTTATACTTTCATAGTGTTAATATTTTGTTTTGTCTAAAATCTATTTCTGGTAATATTTTTTTTCTCAGAAATGTATAGCTGGTAATATTTTCCAAAACGTATTACTGGTAATTTTTTTTTTCAAAAATATATTGCTGGTAATAGTTTTTTTCTTCAAAAATTTATTTCTGGTAATAATTTTTTACAAAGTATTTCTAGTATTAAAACCTATTTTTACACTTTTATAATACTTTTTACCTCAGTTTCTGGGTTAACTATTTGCACATAGCTGGGACCCTAACAGGTGCTACCACCCCGGGTCAGGGTGGACCTGGGAACACCAGCAATTAAGAGGTGGTTCCACGTTCCTCAAAACCTCCTGCTCAGAGGCCTTGCTGCTGGATGTAGTTTATCGTCTTACCCAGGACGACTGTTGCCATTTAAATGTTCATAGACAAATTCAATGATAGGCGTTAACACATCTGTGGTAGACTAGGAGAAACGGAAGCCATATTGCTCATCTGAAAGGAAACCGTGTAAAATGAGACTCTTGTAGGGGTGGGGGGGGTAATGCTACCAACAAGATGGATTTACCAATCTGTAAAGGGTTGATGGAAATGCGATTAACCAGCTACTTTTCTTTAACTTCACAAATGTAACAAAAAGCAAGCAAACAACAAGAGGAATAACAATATGAAACAATATTTTGGTTCAACAATAAATATTTCTTTTATATAACCAATAGAAAGTAC